TCTCTCTACGTACTTACAGGCTCTGCTGGCGCCAGCTCAGAAATACAAACATTTCTCCTTGAGAGCTTGGGGAGGGCAGGTGAGGTACCAGAAGACATGAAAAAAATGTAAACATGGCATCTATCTCTAAATATAGAGGGAGAAAGGAGGAGTAAGAATTATAGACCAGTCAACTTCTAGAAGCTTTCAAGAGAATTGAACTATCAATCAAACAATTTGCAAGCACCTAGGAGATAAAAAGGGAGATGAGTGACATCCAGCACAGATTATACAAAAATGGGGCATGTTAAACTAATCTCATTTGATTTCTTGGCAGAAGTGGGAGAGGAATAGTTGGTGCCATATCTAGATTTTGGGAAGAGTTTGACACGGTCCCACTTGACTTTATCAAAGTGACCTGGAAAAACAGTCTAGAGAAAACTACTTCAGATCTTACACAAAAATGGAGGAGTAGCACAACTCATTCCCAAAGAATACAGTTACCGGTGGCTCATGGTCAGAGCAGAGGACTCTGTCAGCTGGAACTCTGCAGGGGTCTGGGCTGATTTCCTTCCAAATTTTCATCAATGGACCGGATGAAAATACATAATTAGGCCTGGCAGTGATGTGGAGCTGTGAGAGGTACTTCAGCACATCAGAGGAGAAATGTTACAGCTTCAGATAATCTTGGCAGGTTAGAGAGGTGAGGGCTGAGGCTAGTCAGGGGCACTGTGCCTCAAGAAAGAAGAGGACCCCGTTGGAGAAGGCGTAGGGCAGAGTCATTGCATTTACTAAACCTGGCCTAGGTCAGAAGGGCGGGAAGGAAAGTGCCAGAATACATTGACTGAAACTGGAACGGGGAGGGGAGGAAGTCATAGCCTCTGCTCCAGGAGGTTTTCAGGATAGATGGACAAGTATTCCCTCCGGGAGTGACCCAGGGAAGCCGGCTCCTTGCTTGGACAGGCCCAGGCTGAGATCCAGCCCTGCCGCGCTGGGGCTGTCGGGTGCTTCGTTCCAAGCGGCCGTTTCACAGCCGCCGGGGCAGCGCGTGTCAGCAGGGACACACGGCGACATTATCTTTGGCTTTGCCTTTTTAATACATTTGCTTTGTAGTGAAAGGCTGAAGGCAAGGAAGTGCTTTGCTGAACGGATGCCAAAGTGAGCTGCAACGCAGAATGCACCACCTGTTTCCAAATATTTCATTTATTTTGTAATTAAGCAATAATCACAGAGGCGCTGGGTACTTCTTCAGAATTAATGACTTGCTGGGGGATGGCAGAAGATCTGATCTGCAGCGGAGCCATTTTCCCGAGCAAATACCTGTCTGTTCATGCCATTCTAAAAGCAGTATGACAACGTAATGTGCAAGCGTATGGGGTTTGCTGTTAGCAGCTGAGGGGCAGGGAGCAGGCATTAATAGGTACATTAGACAGTCAGCTTGCTTCGGTTGTCTCTCACCATTCGATTCAGAGCACAGTGTTTCATTAGTCACTTGGTGAATGAAATGGCTTTTTAATTGCTGAGAATCACTTTTAAAAATTACAGCATTGTCTGTCCCCTCCACAGCCCCTGGGGATCCTCTTAAATCCCTTCTCTTCCTTTGCCCTGGAGAGAACCGGCTCTGGTGTGGCAAAGAGGAACCTGCCTGCAGCAGTTTCCTTTGTATTTCAGACACAGAAAAAAATATGAGCCATTTAGAAAACAGAGGATTCGCATTTTTAGTGCTGAAAACCCTCTGTTCTCATTAATTTGCGGGTTGCTTACAGAGTAGCCCACCCAGCCTGAACCTTTAAAGACTTCCCAGTCTTGACGCAGGGCTCACTTCTCTTGGTTCCTACACCCCGTGCGTTTTTAATGGTCACAGCTCACTACAGTATCCCAGCCCCGCTGCTTCTTGTGTCCGGGGCACACAAGCTGGCTCCAGCCATCGCCCATAGCAGTGTGCCTCCCAGGAGGGTTGCCGGAGCTTTGGGTGTCCTCGAGGCAGTAAAGCACAATAGCAGGCGAGAAGAAAGGTGTATCCCAAACGGGTGAGCAGCAGCGTGAACATTTCCGAAAGGCTGTGGAAAAAACTGCTACAGGACTTCAGCCATCAGATTGCCAAGGCAAGCAAGAGGAGAAGCATTTGCTAAAAGCATATAGGACAATAAACCAGTTCACGGTGTCCTAGCAGGCTTTGGAATGGCACTAGTCAGTGGGGATTTGCTCGCTCAAATATTAGGTAATGTGCTAACTGCGTGATTGATTAACCCGTAGGTACTTCCTACAGCGAATCTTCGATACTGGCATCCGCAGCGCTGCTTTCAGTCGCCGTGGCTGCCTTCCCAGAGAGATTTCACAGAAGAACAGTCGGGGTGTTTTTTTCTCCACGCTCTTTTCTGCCCCCTTTGAAAGTAATGCTTTTAGGTCTGCGCTTTGAACGATGTCAGTGTGTTCACTGAGGAATACCAGAGCCACTCTCCATCGCTTAATTCTGCCCCTTCAACACAAGGAGCCCTGTTACTTGGCTTGGAGGATTTAGAAACACAGAGTATTTAGAAGTGAAAATGTCAGGCAACAACTTCATGGTGCAAGGCCAGAGATGGTTTAAACTGTGAAGCAGACCAAGGCTCACCTCTTGCCCTATACAGCTGTTGAGGCCTCTTTTTGCCATGTCAAGTCCCTAGCTGATACCCGCCAGTGAAAGGCAGAAACAAAGCCAGCCCGAGGTGCGGGCACCACTCCGATCTCTACCAGCATGGTCAACGGCTGGACCAACCAAACCTCAGCTGCATCTTCTTGTGCCCCTTACACCATCCCTTGTGCCTGTTCCTCTTCTCGCCCCTTTCATGTCCCCCCTCTTACATTTCCTTTGCTTAGTTCCCCAGAACCAATATTTAGTCCCCTCTGCCCCAAAATCCAACCCGGAGCCAACCGACCAGAAAGAATGAATTGTTTCTGGTGATGCTTTTGATAGCTGCCTGCCTGCCTCCCACGGGACCGCTGCGCTGCCGAGCCGCTTGCTGTTGAGCTCATAGCTGGGAGGAACCGGTGCTGTGCGGTCTCTCTTGAATTCAGACAGGATCGATGTAGCTCCTTGTGCTTTATGCCAGCCAGAACTCTTCAGGTTTGACTGCAACTTTTGACAAAGAGCACATTTCCCAGAAGTTCAGCAGCTTATCTGAGTAAAGGTGAATGCTCCGTGAGATGCAGTGCCGACACACAGCTCTGCTGGCCCTCCTCCTTCCCTGTTACTCGAGTGTTGCTATTCCAAACCTTGGTGCAAGCACTGGCTTCACTCAAAGTAAAAGCTACAGAGTACAAGCCCATAGCTCTTCATCAAAATCAAAACTAGCTATAGAAAACATTTTTACAAATTGGCAAGTCTGGATTTACTAAGTCAGAAAAATTTTCATCTAGCCCTGCTCTTCTCAGCCTAGGCGAGACAAACCAGCAGCCCCTCGTGCTGTTTCCATTCCCCCTTCCTGGAGCTGGGCTACCTGAGCAGGGGGCTCTGCCCAGTTCCTTGTGGATCAGTAGCTTAGAAATTTCCTGGACACCAGTTAATTTGAACTACTGCCTGTCTTGGTCTGCCTCTGCTTGTTGTCAGGTTTCCCCAGGACTCTGAGGGTGTTGGAGCAGCTCCTCTCAGGAGCTCAGTGTCCAGGGATGGGCGAGCGGGGGTTGCGGTGGGGAGAGCAGAGTCAGTCGCTTGTGTTAAAAAAACCTTTCCGTGAGCTTCACATCACGGGCAGTAGATCTGTGTCTTTGTCAGCGTGCTTCTGTCAGCCTTGTTCTCCGTGTAGTCATCTGTTAATAACACGGGGCTGGCATCCAGCCCCGTTCTCCACGGCCATCCCAGCACTGTATCAGTTGCAAGCTCACTGTGATCCCCGCTAGCGCTCCCTCTCCCCAGGGGGATGCCAGCAACGGTCGGGACCTTGGTTTGTCTCTAGCTGGTTTAGAAAAAAAGGAAGGAAAAGTCCTGTTAAAGACAGGATGCTAGGTTTTATCAGTGACCGGATCTGTTACTGAAGGCTTCCCTGTTGTCCGGAGAAATCTGAGGATAAGCAAACAAGGACTTCGTTTCAGCTAAGCAGATCATCCTCTCTGCCAATATGTAAGAGACAGGATCATAACTCGTGTCTTCACTGGGAAGAATTGCTGTCAAACACAATTAGCTCTGCAAATTCTAGCTGTTTTCTAGACACACCCGGGCTTAGTTCTTGCGCTACTTAGAAAGGAAGAAATTATAGGGGTCAGTCTTCTGACCTGAGCAAGGGGCTGCAAGCACTCGCTCCATCAACTCATTCCTTTTGCGGAGTTGAATAGAGACTAAAGCACAGAGCATCCGGCACGCGGAGCTGATGGGACTGCGGGTCTCATTCCCACGTTGGCTCGGGAAGCGGTAACATAGCATGCCTCTAGGCAGAAAAACGTCCACCACTGTTTTTGAAGGAGTGGGGAGGAGGGAGGAGGTGTCAAGGCTTGTAAATACTTAAAGCGCTACACAACTAAGTCGTCCGTGCCTGTGTCCCCATGCGTGCAGGGGCATTTCGACTCTGGTTTCTTTTGTGAGGCACCCCAGGAGTTACTGTGAAAAGGACCAGACAAGAACGAGGGTTTTCTACCACTTGTTTCAGTGGTTAAGATCTGATCTGACGGTCATTGGAAGCATGGAACGTACTTCCATAGAACTTGACAGGAAAGATAATGCAGGTCCTGGAATCCTGCCGCTGTGACCAGTAAGGGCAGGAACGTGAGGCTCTCCAGGCCCCGGCATTCACGGTTGGGCTGGGAGGGAGGTACCATAGGCACCGATCCTGCACAAAACCTGCTCGAGAGAGGGCAAAAGGGATGCTAATCCCAGGCACTGGGCTCAGACGCGTTACTGGTAACACCCAGAAGGGTTTAAAAAGAAATGCTGACTAAATTAATTGAGCTAGCAGATGCGCTCTTCAAAAGAGCACAGCACTCTTTTAAATGTCTCCCCCATTGAAATGAGATTCTCAAGAGGCTTTTGTCCTTTGCATTTTCTTCAGGATCATCCATGAGGATGGCTTCTCTGGAGAAGACGTGAAGCAGTACAAACCAGTGGTCTACAGCAACACTATACAGTCACTGGCAGCTATTGTCCGTGCCATGGATACCTTGGGCATCGAGTACGGTGATAAGGAACGGCGGGTAAGTTAAAATCTCCAGTGCTTGGGTACGGAGAGCTGAGCACCTGGAGACTCCAGAGCACAAACAGGAGGCATTTGCACGATCTGAATATCTTGGAGGAAAAAGGAGGGAGAGGGGAAGATTTACATCACCGTTGTATGCCTGTTGCACACGCAGCTGTGCAATGAACAAGGGGCACAGGCACAACTGCATGGGATAAGCCATTCATACACCTGCACTAGGAGGTGTAGCCCTGGGGACCTCTGTGTCGCAACAGCCACAATCTCTCATGCCCTGGCACTACCCAGGCCAGGGCAGACAAAATTCTGTTATCTGGGGACAGCCTAGACAGAGGTACTGACAGCCTTTTGCTGGACACACAGGCTGCAAGGAGAAACATCTCGGGGAGGAGTCTTGCTGCTGTTCAAATCCCTTCTACCGGCCTGCTAATATGAGAAAGCTTTTTCAGATTAGCTTGACTTTTGTGGGGGCTTGACTGGCTTTTACTCACACATCCCCCGTTGAAGTGTACCGAAACAGCAAGAGGATGTATTACTTCAGTGAGGTTTGTATGGACAGGGTCTTAGGCGTCAGCGGTAGCATGTGTCTTGTCAGAGTAAGTATGTGATGTCTGGCAGCCTTCTCGTGCCACACACCTAAGCCAGCCTGTTCTTTTACAGTTGCTGCTCTGTTGGTACTTAAACTGGCTCCCTATTTTTAAACAGTGGCTCCTCTGTGAGGTGCCCCTGCCAGCCTCTATCTTTCCTTTTTGCATTTCTGGCTCAGGCCAAGCTCACATGGAGAAAATCAGAGCCTTAGAGAAGTCAAGACCACCCATTTTTTTGCATGCTCCCATCGTGGAGAAAGTAAAACTACTTGGTTTCACTGCAAATAAAATAATTTCAGATTAAAGACCTGGTAAAGACAAAGTCCTTTATGCTACTGAATTTATCATGACTTATTTTTAGGTAGCTATCAAGTGTCAGATGTACGACATACCCTAAACTCCTTATCTGAGGGTTGATAATAAAAGCATTCGCTAGAAAGGACGCCAAAACCCTGCTGTGGTGTTACTGTATGAAGAGGTACCTTGTTTCTCCCAGTCGCAAAGGAGCAGTTTGATTTCTTTGCATCTAGGGATTTTTCCCACAGGAACTCTAAATCCTGGAGACATTTCCATCCCAAACATAGAGATGATACCATAATGGAGTTCTTGTGAGCTTGCCGAGAACTAATGCTGATGGCTTTCGAACTGAATACATTAATCTGTTGATTACTCGGTGACTCAGCTCTCAGCAAGGCAACGTATCTTGTCTCAGCTAAAAACCTATGCCCAGGAAAACAGAAACAAATCATTCTCCATGTCTGATAAATAGTCTGTGGCAGACAGCTTTAAAATATAAAATTTCTTTTTTTTAATGCCTGAAGTCCTAGTTCGAGGAGGGAAACTCAGCACTGCTTTAGTGCCAGGCCTGGCAAAGGACGGGGTGTGGAGGGGGAGAGCTGTTATCAGGACTGCCAGGAATGAGAGATGGAGTACTGGGCTGCACAGAATGTCGCGTCCCTTCGTGTGCCTAGGCTCGTGCGATAACTCAGGCTGGAAAGGAGCTCAGTAGGCATCTAGCCCAGCCTAGATGGGGGTCGGGTCTGAAAACCTCCAGGGATGGAGACGGCACAGCCTCTTTGGGCATCCTGGTCCACTGCTTTACTGTCCTCATGATGAACAGGTTTCTCCTTACGTGTGGTGTGAACCACTCATGTTTCAGTTTATGCTTTATGGCAGTAGGGAACCTGAGTTACACCTTGCAAAGTAAAAAGCGAGTTAGATTAAGTTCTTCCCAACCTAGTTTCCCCTAAGGTATTTAGTCCTAGAGGAATTAACTCCTCCTGTCTTACAATGGTGTCCTGCTGACTGGGTACAGACAAGCCCGCAACAAGCCACTGTAAACCAAACAGCAGCCTGGGAGGGCTGGTTCAGCGTATCTTCTCCCTCCGTACATGGGAGTAATATTCCTTCATCCAGCAGCAGATGGAGGGGAAAGAAACCAAGTCTCTCAGGCCGTGGTCTTCCACTTGCTCCTTTCTCTTAGTCAACCTCCACAGAAAGTTGCTGGTATTAATATGAAATAGCATTTATTTTAATCTTACAAAGAACCGCATGGCTTCTGCTACCCCGCTTTTGTTATTAATGCACAGCTGCTATAGAGAGGCCATTAAACAGATGATTTGTGGAGTATTATGCGACAAGGTTCATCCCTTTTCAAGCAGAGCTTTTCTATTTTAAAAGTCATTCCTCAGCCAAGGGTTTCCAATGCAAATCTTTTAGTGGGGGATTTTCCCCTACTCATCGCTTAAGCCCCCAAGAGAAGAGAGCTCGGGAAGGGGAGCCGGAGCTGCGGCTGCTCAAGCCTGATTCGGCAGCAGGGAAGGACGGGGCACAGGACCAGGACAGGTTTTCCCCAGGGTCAGCTTGGCTATTCCAGCTTCCCCCACCCCAGCTTCATGGGATGTGCATCTGCCCCTGTATCCCTTCCAAAAGGCACTCTGACAATGTTCGGAGCAACAAAACCTCCTCCCCTACTTAGTAAACGTGAATGAGATGATTTGTGCTTTTGTTATTGAGGTAAAATAACCAAATCCTCTTTCATTCTTCTCATTTTTCTCCTGCCCATGATTATAGCTCCAGTATTTAGTCTAATAGAAGTGACAGACTGGGGGAAGAGTCCACACTAAATCCCTTAGCTTTTGTCAGCCGAAGTGAGATGAATGTAGGAAATACGAGCTAAAAAGACAAAATAAATCACAAAAAGCAGACACTCCAGGTCTCGCTGACCCTCACTGCTAAGGACCTGTCCCCAGGTTAAGAACCAAACAGTCCGCGTGTAGGATTTCACTTTTATACGTGCTTCTCGTCCAGGGGAGCGGTTTTCTTGCAGCTGTGCCTGGCTCACAACAGGTTCATGGCCTGCGGGCAGCACCTTGGTCCTTGTTCCGTGCCCTTCAGCGCAGGGAGGCAGGAGCACCTCTGGCCACCTCACCGCACGTTATCACTGCCGCGCGGCCCGAAGGTTGGTCTGAAACTCCAGAAATGCTGCGGAAATGCAAAGTCACAAATCCTTGACACGTTGCAAGAGTAGGGGGGAAAGCAGCAGTTGGCGAGGAGACAGGAGCTGGCTGCGGGACGAATGGCATCCGTGGGTGTTCCTCATCTCCAGGGCCATCGCTGCCCTAGGGCTGACACCTCAGCTAGCCGAGGGCAAGGGATTACACGAAGGAAGAGGGGCAAAGGCTTGGTCTTGCGTGGTCTTGCTGGTCCGTAGGGCACTACTCAGCCCTTACCTTTCTAATCAGATTAGCGGACAGGAAAGAGTCGGCCCGTAACAGGTAGCCTCTGAATTAAAAGGTTCCCTAGAGTGCAAATGTGTTAATCCAACAAGCTTCTCACCGATGCTCTCTCAGTGTACCCAGGCAGAGCAAACAGAAAGTATCTCAGACTAGATATAGGGAAGACATTTTTTACAAAGAGGGTGATGAAACCCTGGCACAGGTTGCCCAGAGAGGTGGTCGATGCCCCATCCCTGGAAGCATTCAAGGCCAGGTTGGATGGGGCTCTGAGCAGCCTGATCTGGTTGAAGATGTCCCTGCTCACTGGAGAGGGTTGGACTGGGTGGCCTTGAAAGGTCCCTTCCCACCCAAAGCATTCTGTGATTCTGTGATTCCATGAAATGGAGGTTTATAATTAGGAATCTAAAAGTACAAGTTTCGATCTGATCAAGCAGGAAGGGCAGGGAAGGGATGGATTTTCATGTCTCCATTTGAAGAGCCGGTTCCAAAGTCCAGCTTCAGAAATCCCAACCAGAAAGTCTCTTGCTGGGTCAATGCTGACTTCAGAACCTGCAACCAACTTTGTTAGCATAAACCAGACAGAAGCAGGCTGAAATTGTTCAGAAATTATTCAGCAGAGAATCCCGGTATCGGTCGCGTGGCTCAGATACAAGTGTCTGAGGGGCAAGGTCAGAGCTCCAGGCAGGGACCTTCACATTGAACTTTTTTCCCAGTGGGAGTCTGGAAATATCTCTGCTTCTGCTGCGAAAGGGAAAACTAAAAAGCTGCTAAAGTGTTAAAAATACTTGATAGGGAATTTTTTTCTTTCAGGCTTTGTAGCAAACTGTGTCTGTGGTGACCTGATGCTGTACACAGTGTGCAACTCCTGAACTGTGAGCTAAACAAAATGTACCTGGGACATTTTAAAATACTGGCAAGCAAAATTAAAAAAAAAAATATCTGTGTAATGTAATTGAAGAGCCCACCCGAGGCGGCTGGCAAAGGGGAATGTGTGCATGGGAGCTGCGTGTAACCTGCTTCTCAACAGCGGGGTGCATGCAGAAACCCGGTGCCCCCGTCCCCTTTGCACGCGCCGAAGGCAGTGGCAGGACCGGGGTGCCAGCTGCTGTCACCTGCTGCCTTCCAGTCGCTGGAAGGGAGCAGTGCATGGGAGGAGCTCTCTTTCCTAAGACCTGCTCCTGTGTAGAATGTGTGCATGGGAGCTGCGTGTAACCTGCTTCTCAACAGCGGGGTGCATGCAGAAACCCGGTGCCCCCGTCCCCTTTGCACGCGCCGAAGGCAGTGGCAGGACCGGGGTGCCAGCTGCTGTCACCTGCTGCCTTCCAGTCGCTGGAAGGGAGCAGTGCATGGGAGGAGCTCTCTTTCCTAAGACCTGCTCCTGTGTAACTGGCTTTTTCCAGTTTTCAGCTCAAGATATTTGTGGATTTTGCTTCATTTCAGGCAGGTGTCTGTTTAGACCAGCTGGCTCCTGGTGCGTGTTCCTAACCCGAGCTCCCTGACAAACACAAAAAAAGCTGCTAATAACTTCGGGGTGGGCAGGCGAGGTTAATCAGGCACCACCGTGCTGGCAGGAAGCCTCCGTTTGCTGACTGGTAGCTAATGGGGTGAGCTGGGGGATGGACGCAGGATTCCCGGGTTTCTGCCGCTGCAGTGGGGATATGGCCAACCCTTGCTGG